ATGGGGTGCAGCCACCCCCGTAGCCACCAGGCTGGGCACAGCACCCTCACGCCGTGCACCCGTGCTAAGGTGCTGGCAGAGCACCCAGGAGCCCGGCACGGAGCAAGGCAGGCAGCTGCCTGTGCAAACCCTCTTCGACTTCTTCCCTACAAAGCGCTGCCACCTCGCAGACACAAGCAGCGCCTGGGCTCCCCTTCCACGCTGTTGCTTTCTCCTGGAAGTCTCTCGCTGCCTCATGGGCTTCAGCTTTGGCAGCAGCTGATGAGTGGGTCTACACTGTGCAGTCTCAGTTTTGCTGCTAGGAGCTGGCTTGGCTACTTAGATACACCATTAAGATAGTGCCAGAGCACCAAGATGGAGAAAAACAAACAGCTCCCTGGCAGAAAACTGTAACAGGGAGGGCCAGTTTGCATCACCCAGGGGTCGGGCACACCAAGTACAGTAGGTCCCGCACTGGTTTTCTTGGCAGACCAAAAAAAGCCTCCATGCCCCAAGGGATACCATCCCTCAGCAACATACTGTGAAGCCGCGAGTCTCTCAGCCCCCAGAGCAGTTATCGCTGTTTGGCACTTGTTTGTACATTTAGCTACACTTCTCCATAGCAACCAGCCAGATCGCAGCTTGGCTCGCCAGCAGCCAGGAGCGGGGTGTGCAGAGCGCATTGCACGCACCGCTGTCGGAGTCCTGTTAGTACGTGCACAGGCTGGGCACTGACTCTCCGTCTTGAGGTGGGGACCCGCAGTGCTGGCATGGCGCGATGCCTTTGGCAGAGGGCCTCAAGCTGCACAGGGAGCTGGGTGCTCTCTTCCCTGCAGGTATGGATGCTTGTATACTGTTTGCTGGAGCTGAAGAATGGATGCCAGCCCCTGCCACGGCGCTCTAGATGTTGTCCTCTCACCCCAAATTTCTGCTGTTCTTGCCTGCTGAGACAGATTTTGAACTTTGTCATTCCAATCCCTCCTGCAGCCTTTCAGGTCACTGCCATGACCAACTCTCATCTGCTGACATACCCGGCAAAGCTGCCTCACTCTCCTTTGAGTTCAGCTATTTGTATTTTCCCTTTTTCTGCCTCCTTCATGCAAGCCATAGAAAGCACGATGCATTGCATGCACAGAGTCCCATCCACCCTCCCCACTGGGGTTTCTGCTCATTCCAAGATCTTCACAGTTTTGCTTGTAAGAGTTTTGGTTCATTCTTCTGGGCCTGGCTTCACTTTGTTTACGTGTTTCTCCAGTGTCTGCATACAGTTCTGGTCCCCTTATCTCAGAATGGGTTAAAGAGAATGGAAGAAGGTTTGGAGACACGCGGTAACGATGCTCAGAGGTATGGGAGCACTGTACAATGAACAACCCATGTAGGCTGGGACTCTTCAGCTTGGAAGGAGGACATAGTGTGGAGGAAGAGGTCTACAGAATTATGAGTGGCCCAGAGAGGATGGGGAGGATTGACTGTTCACTGTGTCTTCTGACACAAATCTGCCTTGACCGGAACCTCAAAGAGCGTGAAACTACTGCGCTGCAGATGTTACATCCAAAGGTTTAGCACTTGTTATAGCCCACGCTTCTTGCAACACTGGGGGCTAAGTTCATGGCAAGCCTTTCAGAGGCCTGCTTAAGAGAGTGCTGCCTCAGAAACATTTTGTAACCATGTTTTCACGTGGAGAGCTCAGCCATGGCCAAGTGGAGCTTTACCAAACTGTTCAACACAAAAATACTCAGAGCTGGGAAGAGAATGAGCTGGACAAATCCCAGCCAAGAGAGTCCTCCAGAAGGTTGTATCTTGTAGGAACCCTCTTGTAGGGGAAAAAGCTTGTGACTGTGACTCTAATTTTGCTGCTGCACTACCAACCCCACAGCAGCTTGCGAGGGTGAGTGAAGTGGCCTCCTGGGCTGGCTGCCCTGTTCTAGAGATGAAATCCCCCTCCGAGTCTGCACTGGAAAGTAACGGGAGTTGAGATGGTCCTACCTTTTCTAGGACCACAAGAGGGCAACATGAGAGCACTCTGCAGCCAGCAGGCTCAGCAAGGCGACCCATGACACTGCTGAGATGTGGGTGGCATGGGCAGCTCTGTGCAGGCTGAGCATCACCCTGTCCAGGGATCACCCAGCTGAATTAGCCAACTGAAGGCTGCTCCCTGGGAGCCCTGTCCTTGTGTTTCATACACATCCTCAGAGGTGAGCAGTTAGCTCAGGCAGCTGAGCTAGTGCCATGGTTGGGGGCAGTAATATCCTCCTGCACATGGGTCAGATACGTGGTGACAGCAGACCCTTCTGCATGCTGCATGGGGCCAGGCTGTGACAGGCAGGGTGGCCTCCCTCATCCTGTCTGCATGTCCACCACGAAATCTTTTGGGTGAATGTGCACTGACACGTGGCTTCAAACACGAGGGTTCAGCATCTGGAGTCATGCTGCTAGGCTTGGCGAGGGAAAGAAGTGTTAAACCACATAGGAGTTTGAAGATCTCAGCCTCACTGACATTTTTCACTTCCTTCCACCATCAAAAGATAAAAAATTAGAGAATCTGATTTCAGTTTTGGTTGTGAATAAGCAACTGGCCAGTGTCTCCAGCCCACACTGGCCTCTGCAGACCGAAATCACTTATAGCCATGGTTAAGTGCACTACCATTCCTGGCACTTTTTTTGCAATAGCCTGTATAAATACCCTGCGAGGGACAGTTTGCTATGCCTTTCCAAGAACAGGCATGACAGAGAAACAGCTTCTGTTAGCAGGCAGAGCTACAAGAGTGTGTGCGTGCTGCTAAGGCTGAAAATGCCACTAGCATCTTGTAGCAGAGAGAGAGGAGGAGGTGACGGTGAGGGATGAAGTGCAGAATATTAGCTATGCAGTAGGGTGGTAGAGGTTGCTCATAAGAGATGAAGAGATGTTTGCAAAAGAGGAGGAGCAAGGTAATGTCTGGAGGATGCTTTTTGGACAGGCTTGAGACATGGAGAGAAACAGTACAATGGAGGGCTGTATGAGGGAGATTCGGATAATCAGCTAAGCAAAAAGAAATCACTGGGGCACATGGGTGGGACTGTTTATCCCTCTGGCGTTATTTATTTTCTATGAAGAATGCTAGAAAGGTTTTGCCTGCTTAAGATATTTTTACCATGGAAATAATCAGCTTTGTTTCTACTCTTTCTTCTACTCCAAACCTGCCCACTCAGCCTAAGCAGCATTTCAAGGCTCAGCCTGTAGTACCCCACCTCAGTGAACTATGGATCATGTCTTCCCTAACCCAATTACAACTCACATGGCTTGTGCTGTACCTGCACAGCACACTGCTGGCATCAAGCATCCACACTTCCCTGTTGCACATTGACAGGACGAAGGTTCAGGGTATTTGTCTCAAAGGAACATCAAATCATCCGTCTTGCACTCCTACTCATCACCAGTTGTCAGACCTCACCTAGTTGCTCCTGTGCTCAGGCTAATTGTTTGTGTTGGCTACAGCAGACCCTTCAGTGAGCCATCTGCTTTGGGTCTGAAGACATAAGGAGATGGGATAATCCTTGGCTTTTGCCAGCGTGAATCATTTCAACCTGCCTGACTACCAATAATCCAAACCAGCTACCAGAAAGTCCAATATGCACATCGAGATAAATGTGTCATCAGCCAGGAGATAACCCTGGACCATCACCTTCCAGTGCTGCATTCCTACTTGTGGTGTTGCCAACCAGTGATAGCTGTGCCACATGTGGGAAAAACCGTGTTGCGAGCTGGTCACATCACTGACTGCTTTAAAACTGATTTCCCCCTAACTTCAGGGTCTACAGGCAGCAAGTGTCCTTACCTGAGGGAGAAGCATGGCACTTGCACCCAGAGAACTAGTGCCAGGATTCATGTGCCCAGCTTGTGAGTGGAGCAGTCAAAGACCACGGCCTGGATTCATTCTCCCTGGTATGCACTAGTGTCTGGGCATCTCATGTGGGCTGTAGCAACTGAGCCCAGGAGTAAAGGGAGCAGAGCTCTCCAAGATGGAGCAGGTGCAGGAGAAGAGCTCAGCAGCTACAGACACACTGCCCAGGGAACTGCAGCCCAGGCACATTTTGTTGTGAATGACTTCACGATTTGCTCAGGGATTAAATACTTCCTCATTTAATAACCTAATAACTTGGGGTAGTTTCATGCTGGACTGTTGGAAAGTTCACTGGCTGGAGTCTTCAGCCAGGTCTCGTATAAACGGCTTCCCCCAGCTCTCAGCCAAGTGAGCTGTCCTCATCTTTGGGTCCCTCGGCGGGTGGCTCTTGGCACTACCTTCTTCTGAAGGGCTTTGTTGTTTGTGCGTGTGCCTGAGGCTTTACGCTCTGGGGGCTTCCTCACCACATCTTGTTTGAGCTGGAAATGCACCTGCAGAAAGAACAAAAATAACCGGGTAACACCGTGTGCATGCTCTGCTGGCTCCGGGGTCTGCAGGACCTGCCTCTGCCGCTACCCTTCAAAGCTGACTCTCGGGCCAAGACAAGCAATAAGGGGCCTCAGCCAGTGTTACGATACAATGGGAACTCAGTTCTTAAATCAGCTGGAAACATTTTTTTTTCCCCATGGAAAATGTTGTACCGACAATCAGCTACATTTCTTATGCAGAGAGTTGCTCCTGTGGCAATACGATGTCTAGGATGGTTTGGAAGATGAGCTGTGAAAGGCAAGGGACTGAGCTATGCTCTTTCTTCATCTTTTCTCACTGGAGAGTAGAGAAATAGCATTACTTTGCATCTTTCTGAGTATTTAATACACAAGATGGTTTAGGACAGACAGTCCTTTTTCCATTGCATCTCGTTAGCTGAATCCTGCTTAATCAGTCTTTCAGCAACCAGTGCTTCCAGTAAATCCAGGCAAAAAAAATCCAGGAAAGAAACCTCCATCCACTACAGCCATGCAAGCAGGTACAAGAGGGAGAAAGGGACAAGAAGCGTGCAGGACACAGCATCAGATAAATGGGGAATGGAGAGGCCATACAGAAAGGTAAAACTGGAATGGGGTTGTGTGGGCTTCCTGGGGGAAGGACGGCGTGAACAGTGGGTACAGGAGGTGCTGCAGGGGCAGAGGGAAATGGGGACAGGAGGGCTGCTGTGAGAGGAGATCCACAAAAATCAGACCATCAAGAAACAAATCAGTCTTCTATGGTAACATGATAAAGAGAAAATCTATTTTAAAAAGGAAAGCCAAAGAGCTGGAGGCTTAACCTAGCAAAACAAAGGCTCGGACTGGGCTTGACAGCTCTCTATAAATACATCAGGGAATAAATACCAGGGAAGAAGAGGAACTATTTAAAGCCTAACATTGGCATAAGAACAAATAGGGATAAACTGACCATAAATAAATTTAGGATGAAAATTAGAAGGTTTCTAATCCTGAGAAAAGGGCAGCTCTGGAAGAACTTCAGAGGCTGGGTGGGGTGGGATGAAGAGATGGAGGGTGGGAGAACCACCACAGTGTATTTACGGCAGAGCCTGACCAGTGTACATGCAGTGAAGCAAATGATGTGCCAGGATGCCACAGCCAAGGGGGTTCCTGCCGGTCCTTAGAGGAGGCTGCATTCGCGGTCCCACCATGTTCAAAAGGCAACAGCAGGGGCAGGAATCACCACCCACTGTTTTTATAACGAATTTCTAGTTGTCCAGCCTGCCCTCAGAAAGGCACTGTAGGGGCCACACTGGTGTCAAGAGCACTTCATCTCCCAAAGGTGTCTGGCTGTTCTTTTTTGGCACCCAGTTCCCATCTGTCTTGGATACTCTCAGGAGAAAGAAAGGCAGACTTCAGGCTCTTGCTATGAGTCTGGTAATGTGTTTGGTCCCAAGCAGGGTGCAGGTGATAGCAGAGTACTGAAACCCACAGAGCCAGGGGGATAACAGAACCTCAGGGAACAGATGCTGTCTCCACATCATCACGTCCTGGAGAGCATGGAGGATGGAAGGAGAGCTAAAGAGCCTCAGCCCCAGCCAGCCAGGGGCTCTCCCTATGGCCAAGAGGCAGAGGGATGCAGGAGCTGAGCCCAGTGTAGCTGCGAGCCCTCAGTAAGGATTCGAGAGGCACATGGCATTGCCTTCACCCTGTCCCTCTTGGTGAGCTGTGCGAAGCCCTGTGTCTGCCAAAGCAGACAGCCCGTAGCCACTGGCAATGCTCTACATCCCGTCTCCTTTCTCTGCTGCTCACTAGACATTCCCTGATGTATTTCTTTCTCCCAGAGGTGAAGACATTTTGAGACACCCTCGTGGCTATGAAGCCTGACTCACCAATGAAGGTGCAGCTGGGCCCACTGTTGTTGTCACTGTTTGGGGCTGGTACCCCTCTGCAGCAGCTGTGACAGTGTAAGTGCCAGGCAGCAGCAGCCGGAAATAATCCCCCATATCACCTGGAACACAAGGTAGGAAGAGAAAGCACTCAGGATGCGCAGGGAGCAGAGCAAAAAATATTCCAGTAGGTCTTGCTGAGTGTACTTCCTCGAGGATGTGTAGCCTTCAAAACCTAGGCAATTTTTTGCCTGCCTTCCAAATCAGCTGGCTACCACAAGGCTGAATTCACATTGGTAGACTGCAAGTGACGTCTCATTAGTGCCAAGGAGTAGAGGTCAGTCTGCAAGTAAATACCAAATGAAAGGGGATGTTGGCTGTGCCTGCGCAGGGAGGCTGCAAACCTGAGCACTCACCAGTCAGATCTAAGGGCAATCACAGCTCCAGTCTGACTCCGTATGCATCAGGCAACCTCTAAATCCTGTCATATACAATTTTGCCACGTTTGGGTTTTAATTGCTCATCAGCTCAGCTGCTCCCCGATTCTCCCTGCATAAGGAAGCCCCAGGAGCAGTTTGGCAGATTGTGTACTGGTGTGGTTAGGGACAGGGGACAGCCAACAGTGAGGCAGCAGCACATTATGGATTACTTTGACAATTTGAGTATATTCCAATCTGTGGAACTGGATGGATATTGCAAATTTGAGTAATCATTACAGGCAGTTTGTGTTATTTTGGCTTAAGTGGGGCTAGTTGGTACAAGTGAGACAGAGAAATCGGGGGCTTCCAAGGGAAAACAGGGAGGGTGGCCAGCAGGTCAAAGGGAAAAATTTTCTCCCTCTGCTCGGTCCCAGGGACGCCGCACTTGGATACCATGTCCAGTTTTGGTGCTCCCAGGTCAAGAGAGATGTGGGAGAACCAGAGCTCCTGACCCACAGAGCAAGCTCAGGCCCCACAAGCACAGCTGGGGGAGCCAGGCAGGCTCAGCCTGGCTAGGAGGGGAGGGAGGGGGGTCGTGTCACAGCC